AGGGATCAAGGGTTTCAGAGAAAAAGGTGAATGAAACACAGGTATCAAAAACTGTGTTCAGCCACCTTAATTTATCGCCACAGAGTCCCACAGATAATGGCCAACAAGTACTGATTGATTGTAACATTGATCTGTGATCCAGGTTGTGCTGATTTTATTTCAAATCGGCATGATCAAACTTGTGGGATTTGCATAGAAGGGTTAATCTGTTAATCTGTCAGCCCTATTTATAGGCCCTCTGCTTTGACTGTTTAGTAGTGACATCCACGTTGATTGACAGAACCTTTTTGATTGTCCTTATATGAAATGAACATTTCTGCAGTCACGCGTTCTGATTAAATCAATATTTCAGTGTTTCTAAGTGAAATCCTGTTCACATCCTTGCCGTCACATGTTAAAGTGAATCAACATATTAACCTATGTAGACCTGAAATCAACATTTTTGAGCTTATGCGTTGCGTGAAATTGACATTTTGCTGCTTTGTAAGACGTATCGACATCCTTGCCGTCAGGTGTTAACGCGAATCAACATTTTAAGCTGTTTCCCCCTGAAATCAATATTTTTGAGCTTATGCGTTGCGTGAAATTGACAGTTTGCTGCTTTCTAAGAGAAATCAACATCCTTGCCGTCAGGCATTAACGTGAATCACCATTTTAACCTATTTCCATCTGAAATCAACATTTTTGAGCTTATGCGTTACGTGAAATTGACATCTTGCTGCTTCCTAAGAGAAATCAACATCCTTGCCTTCACACGTTAACGTGAAATCAGCATTTTAAGTTATTTCCATCTGAAATCAACATTTTTGAGCTTATGCGTTGCTTGAAATTGACATTTTGCTGGTTTCTAAGAGAAATCAACATCCTTGCCGTCAGGCGTTAACGTGAAATCAGCATTTTAACCTATTTCCACCTGAAATCAACATTTTTGAGTTTATGTGTTGCATGAAATTGACAGTTTGCTGGTTTCTAAGAGAAATCAACATCCTTGCCGTCAGGCATCAACGTGAATCAACATTTCTTTTCCAGTCTACATGTACATCCCAGCCCCCCCTCCCCCCAATTTTTTCCTACAATCAGCTTCAATCTCCCCTCTTGATTACACCTGGTTAATCTTTTTGAGTCATTGGATACTTGAGATA